ATACCTATAATACAAGTAGTCTGGGAGACTGAGACAGAATGATCAAAAGCTGATGGGCAAGTAAATGCCTTAGTGATATCCTGTCTCAAAAAATAGTCATGCGTGGTAGTGTAAGCCTGGGATCTCAGCATTTGGGAGGCTGAGGCAGGAGGACTGCCATGAGTTTGAGGTCAGCCTGGGATAGATCTATAAATACATAAAGGGTTGGGGATATAGCTCACTAAGGTGGCCCTAGGTTCAACCCTCATGAGGTACTGGTGATATCTATTACCCATCTGTCAGCTACAACCCTAACACTAAGGGAAAACATACCTTTAACATTTTGAGTTAAATTCTGCTAATTTTACCTTTCACTGTTGATGCAGTGCTGGGTGCCAAACCCAGGGTCTTGCTCATGCTAGGAGGCATGAGCTCTACTACTGAACTACATCTTGAACATTATTTTGAGACAGAGTCTTGCTAAGTTGCCCCAGCTGGTCTGAATTTTATATGATTAGCTTTGGTATTCAAGTTTTTTATTTATTTAGTCCACTAATTTAAAATTTTATTTTATTTGTGGTACTGAGGATTGAAACTGGGACCTTCACATTGCACCAATTCCCTGTCCTTTATAGTTCTTGAGACAGGGTTTTGCTAAATTGCCCTGGCATACTCGACTTTGCCACCTTCCTGTTTCAACCTTCCAAAGAACTGGGATTGCAGGCATCTGCCACCACACCTGGTAGAAGTAAAATGCATGCATACACACACACACACACTCACACACACACACACACACACACACACACATATATGTATGTATTTGCTGAGGAAGATGGCTATGACTGAAATATCTCTGAAAGATAATCAAAAGCAGAGCAGACTTCATTTTCAAAATTGCTTCTCTTCAGTATAGCTAAAATGAAGGGCTTAGGCCAAGTACAAAGTTACTTTAGGTTTTGCTTACAGTCTATGTCTTAAGATAAAGCAGTTACTGACTGTGTATTCAGATCAGCTTTATAGACTTGCACAGAATCAAAATAACAAGGATAAAACACTGGAATTCCAGTTATTCTTGTTGGGGAGGTGAAGAATAATTTGTGGAATTTATTGCAGCATAGATTAAGAGTTTGCCAGAACAATAAAAGACAACTAGATAAAAGTGGTTTTTCACTGGGCAACTCTACATAAAATATTGACAATGTGCCTGGTACAGACATGCTATCAAATGTTGACTACTTTTCCGGGCTTGGTGGCAAAGGATTATAATTCCAGCACTCTTGGGAGTCTGAGGCTTTAAAATTTGAGCCCAGCAACTTGGCAATTTAGTAGTTTAGAGAGATTCTCTTTCAAAATGAAAATAAAAAAGGCCCTAGGTTCTATAAGAGGCTACTATGTGTCATTATAGTCATCATCATCAATATTATTATTTTGGGTACTGAGAATTGAACTCAGGACCTTATGCTTGCCAGGCAGGCCCTGCACCACTGAGCTAAATACCCAGCCCTGTATTATCATTTTGTACTTTTTTTTTTTTTTTTTTTTTTTTTTTGGTAACAAGGATCAAACTCATGACCTCATGCTTGCCAGACAGGTGCTTATCAGGCTGCTGAGCTATATCCCTAGCCCCTGTATCATCATTGTTATACTGACAGTAACTACTTGGAAATAACCAACAAATATTTATTAGCCATACATCTTCAGCAATACATTTTCATCTAATACATCTACAAGTATCAAACTGTCTGATTAAAAAAAAACAGCCTTGCTTGTAAGACATTTATAGTGATACATTTTGAGGGAGAGAAGATAGAAAGTTAAACTGTTAAAGAAAAAACATTCAGTTTCTTTGCAACAATATCTTTCACCGCCCACTGTTTTTCAAGCAAGTTATAAACAAAAATCACTATTTAAGATTGTAACCCCAAATCATACAGTAATAATTTATTCCCTTCCAACAATTCTGATATAAGATTTAATTGAACCAGATTTCACATGTATTTTGAATGCAAAAGGATACTATAGAGTAACCTCTTCTTTTCCTGACAAAGGTAGAAGGCTAAGAGAAAGTAGCCAGGAGAAAGACTGAAAGCCAGCATCTGTTTCATAGGAACATCCTTAACCTTCATCTGTGTGTGCTGACATTTCTGAATGCCTTTATTTTTGGATACTTTCCAGTGTACAAAAACAAAGGGTGCAGGGACAAAAGAAATTATACTACAGTTGTACTGGATACTTAAGTGAAAAATGTTCTTTAGAGAGTTAAAATTGTCTTGTAATTTCTTCAAAAAGGAGTACGCTAACATTTCAAAAAAATGAATTATGCTAAGTGTGGTGGTGCATGCTTGTAATTCCAGAATTCTGGAGGCTGAGGCAGGAAAGCCAGCCTGAGATACATAACAGGATCTTGTTTCCAAAAAAAAAAAAAAAAAAGAGTGAGAAACAGCCAATTCCTAGTAGACAGTTTCTTAGAAAGGTTAAGCTTCCAAGTTGGCAATAATTCACACCAAACACTAACACAAAATTTAAATCTCCTGCCAATGTGTTGATAAAAAAGTTTGTCCTTAGAGTATGTTCTTTTTTTTCTAATGAGTGTAAAGGACACACAAAATTACCACCAAAGGTATGAAATATTAGACTCTAGACCTTTATCTACACTAAAATGTATTACCACTAGCCTTCTTTTCCATGAAAAGAATATACTTTAATCTGATGAAAAGATTTCTATATGAAATATGTACAAATTAGATCTCAAAACATTTACGTGGCTATCTGATACTCAATATAATTTCTAAATTCTAAAGTCGTTATTTTTCTTTGCAGTACTGGGGACTGAACTCAGGGCTTTGCACATATGAAGCAAGCACCCTACCACTGAAGTACATTGGAAAAAGGACTGGAAGCCCTTTTTATCTAATTTTCTCTCTTTTTTCTTTCTTTTCTTCCTTCGATTTTCTTTTCCCTTCTCCTCCTTCTCCTTCGTCTTTTTTTTTTTTTTTTTAAACTGTATTTTTAAAAAAGTCTTGCTAAAATTGCCCAGGCTGGCCTCAAACTTGAAATCTTTCTGCCTCAGTAGGAACTAACCAACCACTCCCCAGTTTTTGAACTCTTAATAGTAGACAAGTATTACAGTTAGAAATGCCTGAATTTTAAAGTACACAGATTGTCTAAATTTTTGCTTGAATTCCCTTATTACATCAGCAGATCCATTAATATCCCTCAGGAAATCTTTCCATGGAGTGGTAAAATTTATGACTATATAATGTTAAAAAAGACAATTAAAAAAAAGATACAGGTGTTCTAGAAGGGGTAGGGTTAGATAAGGAATTTAATTTGCAAGCTAACTCTATTTCCAAAATAATCATGCATCGTGGGAAGAAAATAGGAAATGAAGTATATTCCAAAAAATTAGGGTTGAGCATGGTGGCACTCCATGGTGGCTGAGGCAAGAGAACTGCTGCAAGCTGGAAGCCAGCCCATGCTATGGGACTCTGCCAAAAAAAAAAAAAATTGGGAGGTGACTTTCCTAAGCAATTTGAGGTTGAAAAAATAATTAGATGGGAGGAATATGGTTAGCAAATAACTATGAATTAATTCACATTAATAAGAAAGCCAAATTAAAACAAAAGGTTTAAATTATATAATAGAACTGGATCACTGGGCAATGACTGTTGAACCTATGACACATGTGCTGCAGCAGGCTGTTTGTATCATTGAAGCTCTATCAGGTTTATCATCACTGCCCTTGAGTCTGCCTCCTGCCTTACATAATTCAGGGTCTTATGTATACCAAAGAAACTCTTCCACTGAGTTACATCCCCAGAACAGAAAAAAGCATTTTCTCTGAAGAAACAGCACATACAAAGATTCAGGGATGGAACTGTGAAACAGCCCTGCATTTTCTGCTTCTTACCTTCCTCATCACCCTCATCCTTTCCTATGACTTCAGGATGTTAAACAAATTGACTAAGGAAAAAAATATATCTAGCATTTAAGAATGTGGTATGTGGTAAGTAAACCTAGGCTTAAAACTTAGCTTTATAATACTGATAAACTAAAAATTACTCGATGTGACTAAGCAGAAAAATATCTTAGTGACACTCTTGTGTATTTGCAAGGAAGGAACAGTACTGCCCCAGGTCCTTTGTAGGCCTTTTTTTAGGATGATGGTTGCAGAGACTAGGAGTTCCCCTGGGAACTCTTGGAATCTATGACTCTCATTCCCCTGGATTCTGTAAGTGGTCTTAGTAGTCACCAAAGCCTAAATTATGTACTTCTGTGTTAAGGTTAAAGCATGTTTGGGCTGTTTCATGCATGATATGGGTCTTGTCTGGACTGATCAAGTAAGTGATGAATGAGACAAGGGTTATACCTGCTGTTGCTAAAAAGCTCCCAGATTGACTAATCTTTTAATTGGAAATAGAAATGAAACTCCTTTATCCAGCCTGTCTGGGCCTGATAGGGCATAAGATGAAGGTCATTCCAAGTCTTCTATGGGCACACTGATGTGCTGCCCATCTATAATTTAAGGCTTTGTGCTCTCATTGGCTCCTTACATGGCATGCAATTTATGGTATTGTAACTCCTGCTGTGGCTAGTGTACATGAGACAAAGTAGCAAGGTGCATCTGAGGGAATGACAAACACAGTACAGTAGCTCCAACGGAGTGTCTTACTAAATTGTGCAGGCTGAGTTCAAATTTTTAATTCTCCTGCCTCAGCCTCCAGAGTGCTAGGATTACAGGGATATACTACCATGAACCAATTAGTCTATCTCTTAAATACAGTAGAAGGGACCACGCTGTAACAGACTTGCCTGCTGCTGTGTTTTGTTTGCCCCACTCACTCACCTACCTCCCCATTCCTCAATATCTAACTTCCCACACAATTTCCTGTGGTTGTTGGCTTTTCTTTATATTGATTTAAAACAAAGTATAAGGAATTTTATAAGTTTTGTTTTCTTTTGAATAACTAAATAGTATATTATTTACATTAATGTCAACTAGGTTAAGTGGTACACACCTATAATCCCAGCAATCGGTAGGCTGAGTCAGGATGATCACTGAATTCCAGGCCAGCTGGGACTATATAGTGAGTTCAAGGCCATCCTTGCTGTCTGGAAAAAAAAAAAAAAGAAAAAAAAAATCAAACAAACTTGGATATATAGAGTGCTGCATGTGGAAGTGTTTCATGAAGTACATTTTAAATGTTTGAATTTTGATGTGTAGAAGGATATGACTTTTCTTTCCCCATGGTGCTCCCTACTCCATACTGTCTTATACTGAAGCTAGTTAATTTTTCCTAGGCCTCGAAGTCTTTTCAGTTTGCATTCTTGATTCTGATTAAACAAGTTAAGGGATAGGCAGAGTGGTGCATCAATAAACAAATGTACAAAACACAACCTTTCATTTTTGGTTCTCCAGGAACAGGCGGAGGCCCTTTCCTTCTACTAGTAAGGAGGCCCTCAATGATTCTTAACTCCTGTTAAGGCCATACCCTAAAATGATATATCTAGAAATACTACCTTTCAACTGCTTGCCATACCAAGTGTTTTCGTGTGAGGACTCTCTTCTTTAAATGGTGGATAATGAGACCATCTAACTTATTTAGGGAAACTTTTATACCTTACCCACTAGAAAATGGGTTATGATCTTATTATACAACCACAAAAAGATAAATCATATTGTGGTACAGTAGCAGGTACAACATCTGAACCCATGATTTGTGTAAAAGATAAGGTGGGGCAGGCAACATTTCACTCTATCAATATACAACTCAGAAGCAGATTTGATAATCCCCAGGCCTCACCTGGGTACATGAGTTACATGCAATGTGTGGTACTTGAACTCATGACAAATTTACAGCTCTCAAACGTAACCAGAAACTGAACTCTGCAGTTACTACTGTTTTTTCCTAGGGTTGGAGACTGAATCCAGCCCTCCTGAATATTAGGCAAATGCTCTACCACTGAGCCACCCCACCCCATAGGTTATCTTAACCTTAAGCCATTAAAAAAACACATGCCAGTATTCCTGCCCCAATTTATCTGCCTAGAGACTTACACACTCCTCTATACTCAGATAAGCAGTGGGTAGTTCCCTGTAGTGCACCTTCTGGTTTCAAAGGCAGCATTCATATTGGTTATTTAGCTCTACCAAGAGTCTAAGTCAGGATTGGCCTCAAACTTTACACATTTATATGCTATCATATGAACAGTTACAAATGATGACTTCTACTCATGTGTTTTTGGTGAAAACTCAATGATTACTTCTTGATAATGCCAGAAAGTACTGATTATGTGACCTTGGGCATGTTACTTAACCTCTCTGCATCTGTGGGTTTTGTTGTTGTTTTGTGGTATGTGTGTGTGTGTGTGTGTGTGTGTGTGTGTGTGTGTGTTTGTGTGTGATGCTGAGGATCAAAACCAGGGCCTTATGCATACAAGAGCTCTATCACTGAGGCACATCTCCAGCTCTATATCTGTATTGTCTGTAAAATGGGGATTACATTAGTATCTACTTTATAGTGATGTTGTAAGGAATTAATGTTAATACATATAAAATGTTTAGAGCAATGCCTAAGTATTGCATAAATCTTAGCCATCATCAATTTATTATTACTAATCTTCCCTCATTCTATCTGCCTAAATATTTTATTATGGACAAGAATGAGGGAGAGAAGAAAGAGGGGAAAAAAAAGATACTCAGGATTAGGACCTTAGTAGCCAGGACTGAGGAAAAAAAGAGGCTTAGCAAATAGGACTATATACAGAAGGAACGCTTGCTAGCAGAAACCAACCATAGCAGGTCACAGAATGAAGTGAGAGTATGGGAACTGAAGCACTACAAATAAAGACAGGCTCAGGTTGTCAGGTCAAAAAGAAATTGAATTAGAAGATAAACAGGTCATAAAGAAATATTCTCAGCATCCATGTGGATTGTGCCATCAAAATTTCCAAACATATCAAAAAAATCAGTGGCTGGAAATAATTTTTGACTAATGTGTCATACTGAAATTTTTATGGCAAGCACTTTGTTTTCTATCAGTTTTGACCAAATTATCTTACGATAGTAAGGAACCAGCGAGGAGTACATGATTAGGATATTAAACTACTGTAGACTAAAGTGTCCAAAAAAGAGCAAGATCAAGAGGCGGAGGTAGGAGCATTGCTGAGAGTTCAGAGCCAGCCTGGGCTACAAAGTGAGTTCAAGGCTAGCCTGAACTGCATAGCAAAATCCTAACTCTATAATTTTGAGACAGAGTCTATCAGTTCAGGCTGGCCTTGAGCTCACTTTGTAGTACAGGCTGCTCTCAAACTCGCAATGATCCTCCTGCCTCAGCCTCCTGAGTGCTGGGATTACAGGCGTGAGCCACCACGCCTGGCTCCGAAAAATTTTTTTTTCCAAAATTTTTTTGAAAGGGCTGGGGATGTAGTTCAATTGAAAGGCCACTGGGTTTAATACCCAGTACAAGGAAAACAAAGAAAAAGTTTTAAGGATAAGCATTATTTTCTTAACTCTAGTTGACTGCTTGGCAAATCTTTTTTTCATCATAGCCCAAAAATAAATTTCACTTTTCATATCCCCCATTAAATTATTATAAATTATGAGTATTCTTAGACATTGTTTGAAAAAATATTTTCTTGTATTGTTTATTAGTGAAATGGGGATAACAGCAACTTCCTATTTCTTCCATTATGAAAACAGTAACTCTCCAAAGAAAATATTCAATTTTTTTCCAAGTGAGCAACTTAGTCATCTTAAAGAGTACCTATACTGTTATTTTCAAATTTTGCATTTGAATTTCTTACCCTGTCACTAATTTGGTTTTTTTGCTTTTTTGGTTGGTTGATTTTTTTCTGCATTGGGGGTTGAATCTTCAGATGTTGTGCTCGCTTAAGCCTGCAAATAGTACAGTACATTTCCCAGAGGCAAATAACCAAAGCATCATGAAGTCTATCAACCCACAGTAAGCCAGGGTGTGGATTTCAAGGATTTTACTGTAAAGCTAAAAGCCACTAGAGAGCACCAGGACATTTTTGGTTTTGATGTAATCATTTTGAAAGACCCCATGGCAAGATGCTTTTTATCTTAAAAGACTATTGTATATACATGATATAAAAAGAGAACCTGGAGCTTTGGGATTTAGTTTTTCTGATCATGCCTTTCACTAGATGACTGGTCTTAGAAAACATTTTTTACTTCTCTGGGTCTTAAATTTCACTTCTATAAAACGTAAGGCAGGCATGGTGGTACACACCCATAATCACAGCACTTGGGAGGCTGAAGTAGATGAGCTTGAGGCCAGCCTGAGCTACATAAATTGAGTTCAAGGCCAGATCACACTACATAGTGAAACTCTTATCTCAAAACAAAGTAAGGGATGTGTTAGATATATCCTTTCAGCTTTAAATTTCTGATCCTACACATCCGAATTTTTTCTTCAGTATCTTGGGGCTTAGAAAAAAGTTGGCAGAAGAATAAGGATTTTACTTGTATTACTTCTTTTTTTCTAGCTCACTCACCCTATTACTACTTTTCAGCTGTGCAACTTGGGGTTTTATCTTTTCCTTACGTACTATACAAAAGCAAATAATATTAATACTTGTGGAAGACTTTCCAAGGATTACCAATCACTTTTGCAAATACAAGCTGATTTTTTTTTTTAACACAACAGTTTTGGCTCCTAAGTAGTATCTTTAGTTTCCTCTACAAAGTACTGTCTTCAGTTTACTGAAGACCAGAAGAGTTTAGTAAATTAACTGCCCAGATAGCAGTTATGGGGACTGGGTCTTCTGATTCCAAACAAAGCCAGAATTCTTTTTACAGCCCTAATTCCAGGGGGGCAGGTCTAGTTTTTGTAGGGGCTGCAGTGTCTACTACTTTGATGGCTATTTTCCATTTTTCCTTTTTTTTGGTACCAGAGATTGAACTTACAACCTCACACTTACCAGGCAAGGGCTTGAGCTGCTGAGCCCGCTTGGTGGCTATGTTCAATAACAGAAATACAAAATTACAATATAAGACAAAATATGTGACATGAAGACCATGTTCAGAATCTTCAACAGGTTCTATTGAAGTGAGGGGGCTTTAAACTTTGGAACAAAATTCATGAAAAATCTGGTGTTCCTTTTTCGTTCCTCTTTATATTTTGCAGTGCTAAGGATAGAACTCAGGGTTTCACCTATGTTAGGTCAGTACTTTACCACTGATCTACATCCCCAGCCCTGCAAACCAGATTTTCAAATTTAAAACAAACAGCATTTTAAAAAACTGCTAGATGTAGCTCAGTGGTAGTTAAGTCTTTGCTTAGCAAGATTCAGTTTGCCGGGGAAAAAAAAGGTCTGAAATAATTATTATAATAACCTTATGAGGTACATATTATACAAAATAGAGAGTAGGGCTCTGTCAAGTAAAATGATTTGCCAAAGGGCAAGTAGTTAGTAAGTGTCAAATATCAAAGTTGAAACCTGGCAATCTGGCTGCCAGGCCCATACTGTGAATCTACCGCCAATATGCTGGGAATCATTTTACCACTTTCCACACGCAGGTCCTTATAAATTTGTAACTGAACCACAATTTACTATTTTGTCTCCCTGACTTTTTTCCTACAGTATTTACCTGAGTGTTACTGCCACCCTAACAATCCTAAAGCACTAGTGTTGTAAATCCTGTTCACCTTAACGACTTAAAATCCTCCTCTTTTTTTTTTTTTTGTATTTGTCAAACATTGAAAGCAACTATCGGGGCTGGGGATTCAGCTCAGTGGTGCAGTGCCTGATTCCCGGGTGTGAGGTCCTGAGTTTGATTCCAGATTAAAAATAAATAAATAAATAAATAAATAAACAATTATTGCTCGCAAACTTACTATCTTAAAACACCTTGAGTGGTTACTTTTTGATTGTGTGAAAAAAGCAGAATGGGTGAGAGAAAGTACTGGGACCTCTCTGGATCTGATCCTCCAATCTCCACTCCTCAATCTCAGGTTCCTCATTTGTAAAACAGAACTGTAAGGCTTACTCACAGAGTTGTGAAAATTCTGTGGGGGCGAGCAGTGGGATGAACATGTGAAGGGAAGAGCAAGTTCTGGTGTGCAGCAGGTGCTCAACAAATGTTGGTCATTCATGCCTGACTTAAAATCTCCCCCAAAACTTGTGAACTCTTTAAAAGCAGAGGCCTTTTCTCATACTTTGCTTTCTTTCAATTGCTCTAGAGATCAGAGACACTTCATGAACAAACCGGGCCCTTCAACAGACCCACTCTGCTGTCTGGCCTTAGCCAAGAACATACAATGGCTTAGAACAAAAATCAGGTACTAGATAGAAAGTGGTGACCACTTTCTATTACTGTATTTTCGAAGTGGTACTTGTTTCCCAGGGAGGTGGGGATTATACAAACCATTCAGGTGAAGTGCTTAGCATATAACCCACCTTCCAATACTGTAAACTATAATTCTATCCTGTCCCAAACCTTCAGGGTCCCTAACAATTCGGTCCCTCTACACGCTCGCATCTCCGGACTTCTGACCCTCTGGCCAGTCCCCCCACTTCTTACCTGCTCTCCTCACCGACTGCTCTCTAATACCCACCATTCATTCGGTAACCGACACAGACCAGGCTCTGGGGTGAAAAAGTTTCGCACATTCTCTCACGGAAACTTCCTACGCGCCTACGTATGAGGTCTGTTCTATTACTGTCTTCGTTTTATAGAGAAGGAACAGGCCCCGAGCTCAGGAACCCAAGCGCCAGGCCCAGTTGGCTTCCGTGCATCTCAGTCCACTGCCCGGGCTCTGGCGCCGGCCCCGAACGCCTTTTCCGTGGAGGCTGCACCACGTCCATTCAAACGCTGCCCGGTCCCTCCTCTTCCAGTCGCTCTGTGGCTACTCCGTGCGCCCGTCCCTTCCATTTAAGGCCGGGACCTTGGGCCGCTTTTCCCAGTTCTCTACCAGAAATGCATGAGGCGGGCGCTGTCGTCCCGGACACGCGTAAGCAGCCTTGAGCCCCTCAGAACAGGCCAGGGTCCACAGGGGAAGCCGCGCGGGGGGTGGGGCCGCGAGGCAGAGCGCGCGCCGCCTGTCACGTGGTGGGGAGGGGGCGCCGGCACGCGGGCGCGGGAACGCGCACCCGCGAGCCCTGGGAGGCACGAGTTGCTGTAGGGTGTAGGTATGGCGGGGAGGGGGCGGCAGCCGGCGACCGACTCCGCCCACTGTGCGCATGCTCCGCCCCCCCGCGGGATATAAGGCGGCCGCTCTAGCCCCGCCAGACAAAGTGGCGAGCTGCGACGTGACTAGTCCGCGTGGGTGCTCCAGCGAGCGAACTAAGCGGCAGGCGAAGGACACGAGCCGGGCCCCCGGGCCAGAGGATCTCCTGCTCTCTCCCCGCGTCAGCCACACGCCTGGCTCCCCCAGCCGCTCGCCTAACGGTTAGTTCGGTCGCAGCCGGCGACACTTGGCGCGGACCCTCTGGTGCCCTCGCTTGCCCCAGTGAGGCAGAGGGACCTTCTGGGTGCTGAGGTCCTCAGTCTTTGGGGGAGGGAGGCTTTCCGACAGAGGGCATCCTGATCACGGGCTCCCTCGTGGTGCCGCAGACGCGGCGCTGGTGAAGGAGACCTTGAAGCGCCGGGGTCAGCGACTCTCCTAACCGCATCTTGGGCTCCCGTGGATCAGGTGTCGGCTGCTGGCCCGGTTCGGGAGTCGGGTCAAGGTACCCGGTGACCTTGGGCAAGTTGCTTCCCCTTTAATCTTAAGCGGCTCCTGAGAGATGCTTTTGACCTGCGAAAAGGGGCGACGTGGGGCCAATTCACGTGGTGCCTCCGGACTTCTGCCTCTTGCGGGGAGGTGGGGGACTCGGCGGGAGTTATTTCGGACTCGTGGCATGCCCGCCCAGCCTTCTTCCCTGCCAATCCTAGTCCCACCTGATGACTTGCAAGAGTGGTGTGAGGCGCTGTAGTGCCCACAGCCGAGCGAGACTGCAGGGCTCGAGGAGACTTGGCTGAGGGGAGCTGCCGGCCCGCAGCCTCCGGGACTGTGCCGCGCGGGGTGGGGGTGGAGGTCTTTGTCGTGCTACCTGTGGCGGTAGAGGCGCTTCCCGCTCGGCCTGAAGACGGCCTTGTTGAGACTCTCGGAAGGGTAGCGTTTATAGATGGTCAGATGCACTCTTGTTGTCCCAAGTACATCTTTTTTTTTTTTTTTTTTTTTAACTTGTGCATTTTAACATTTTGTTTCTTTGTCGTGACGTATTTGGTACAGCAAGCACTAGTTAAAAAAAAAAAGCCCCAATTTGTAATCAGTCTAAACCAGGGCACACGTGCTACTACTAAAGGCTTTCCTTGCGTTTCCAGTGGCCGATTATAAACTGGGTGCTACTGATAGTAAAATATTTACAGGCTACTTTGCTATTACTAGTTTAGAAATCTTTTAAAAATTATTCTGGTTCGGAAATAAAATGTGTACATGTCAGTTCCCTGTTAAACTAAGTGTGGGAAATCTACTGGCATTTCGTGATAGGATGAACTCTGGATTATGGGAGGGTCTGGAAGAGTGTAGAAAGGAATTAGGTTGTTAGTAAACAACTTTTTATCACTATCTCCCAAGTTGTTTATTTAGGTGTTAAGTAGTGGCCTTAAGCCCAAATCTTAAACCCTGGGGTATAATTTTGCCTTAAGATTGCCATGGAAATGGTAAAGAAGTAAAAGCATCTAACCCTTAAACAGACCATAAGTTTTTCTTTTCTTTTTTTTTCTTTTTTTCTTTCTTTGAAGGGTGGGGAGTAAACCGGGAATCGAACTGAGGACTTGGCTTGCCAGCCAGGCGCTGTACCGCTGACCTATATCTCTGGCCTGATAAATTTTAAAATTTAAGCCAAAATTGAATATACTTCAATAAATTCATTTGGGGTTTAAATACACGCTGTTTCATTAGATTGCAGCAGCCTTGTTAAATTATTGGAGCTAATAATAGTCCAAAGAGTATTTTGTGAGCTTTGGTTGTTTTTTTTTTTTTTTTTTTCGTCTTTTTGAGACAGTTTCACTGTGCAGTTCTTGCCTTAAACTCACTTTGTAATCTAAGCTGGCGCTGAACTCACATTGATCCTCCTGCTTCAGCCTCTCTAGTGCTAGAATTATAGGCATGCTACTTGTGAGCTTTTATTGCTGAATAGATTTACTGATTTAGCTATAAAGCTTAACATAGTAAACTACAACATCTTTAAACAGATTAAGAAAGAAAAAAATCATTCCACAGTAGGATGATATTATCTGATTAGTGTTTGAATTGTTTGCGTGTCTTTTTACCCTTTAAATATATATGAAGGCATGCAATATTAGCTGAAAAAAATCTTAAAGACCAGCTGGTTGATTCTGTTATTTTACAGAGAAGGGAACGAGGCTAAGGAGATTAAGTGACTTAATATCTAAAGTATGAAAATTTGTTAATGATTGGGCCAGAACAAAGTGTCTTTTGTCTCCTATTTTGTCAGGTTAGCACTTCTGAGTTTTCTCTAATTTATCAATATTGATACATATTATCTTAGGCTGAAAATAGTTGTTTTTAAGAGTAATACTGTCCCAGATTCTGTCCTTCGTTCCAGCAGTTTTCAGTTCATCTCATAATGTGTATTCCTATATGGAATTCAGACCTGTGTATAAATGCCTATGTGGCTGTTTTGTTTTGTTTCATATTAGGACTGGGAAAAGGTAACAGTCCAGAAAGTTATGAATTGTATCTATTCAGTCTTTTGTGGCTGTCAAGCACTGTGAGAAATTTAAGGTTCAGCAATGAACAAATCTCAGTACTTGCTGTCCTGGAGACTTGCTGTCTTAACTGGAAAACAGATAAAATGTATAATTAGCACAAGTACTCTCCACACACAAGTGTGGGGTGCTATGTGGGAACACACTATTGTGCAGGTATGAGTAGACACCCAGTTTTGGAGGGAAGCCATGTGGGTTGACTTTTCGGAGGAAATGCTATTTAACCTGAGGCTTGAAGAATGAATAGGAGGAAGGTAGACAAAGGGTGAAGATAGGTGGAAAGTGCATTTCAGGTATTAGTAGAGCTGCAGTCAGTACAGACAGTGCAAGAACTCAATGGATTTTGCCAAAGCTAAAATATAATGCAGGAGTCACAAAGAATGAGAAGAAATGGATGTCTTAAGCCATTTGAAGGAATTGAATTAGGGAAGCGACTAGGCAAAAATTCTTAAAAACACCACTCTTGAAAGCTGATTGAAAGCAATTTAAGAATTTCCAGTGGAGTTGAAGATCTGCCTGATCCAAGGTTTGCATTTTAGGAGCATTATTCCATATGCAGTGAAGAGCCAATTAAAGGGAGGCACTTGGGAAGAGTGGAATGAGATGAGTGTTGGAAAAGTTGGGCAGCAGTGGCGGGATGGAAGAGAAGGCGAAGCAGGATTTGGTGGTAGGTCGGCAGACATGAGAGACTTGGAAAAGCAGAAGAAACTAAGTCTACCTCCCAGGGTTCTAGCTGGAACAAATAGAAGTTTGTCTCCATTAAACCACTGGTTGTATGGCTAGACCAGGGTAGCTCAGTTTATAAAGCTTGAAGAAAAATTCGAAACTATTCCATTTTTCTTCTGCTTCTGTTGATGACATTCCTGACATCTATTTTGTGGTGTTCTTCCTTTCTAAACAGTCTACTATAGAAATTTTCAAAACACGGAATTCAGCCATTGTTTCATTTCTATCCCTAATTATTTTCTACAATAGATGTGAATCTCACAGAATTTTTATGAAGCAAATCCTAGATGTAATTTTCTTCATCTGTAAATATTACAGTACGTATTTCTGAAAGACACCATTATTTATTTTATTTTATTTTATTTTATTTTATTTTATTTGAGACTGGGTCTTGCCATGTAGTTCAGGCTGACTTTGAATTCACTATGTAACCTGGCCTGGCCTCAAACTCATAGTGATCCTCTTGTCTCAGCCTCCCAAATGCTGGAATCACGGGCATGTGCCACCATGCTGGACTGAAAGATAACTTTGAGTGGGGGACTGGGAATCAAACTCAGAACCTCATGATTGCCAGGCAGGCTCTATGCCGCTGAGCTATCTGTATCTCCAGCCCAAAGATACCTTTTTTTTTTTTTTTTTTTGGTACTGGGGATTGAACTCACGATCTTGCACTTGCCAGGCAGGCATTTTTACTGCTGAGCTAAATCCCCTGCTAAAGATACCATTCTTAAGAAATTCTTAATTACAATATCACTATCCTACCTTTAAAAATTTACACTAAGTATTGTCATTCTTCAGATTTTCATGACTTTAGTTTCCTGTTCTTAAGTTTTTAAAATAATTGGTTGGTTTGATTAAGGACATTGCATCTAACTGTGTTTCTTAAATCTTATTATCTAAAGATTTATCCTGCTTCTGTTGTTTTCCTTATAATTTATTTGTTGTAAAAATAGTTCATGCTTCCTCTAGTTTCCTTCATTCTGGATTTTCATGAATGTATCTCTGGTATAGGTTATTATTATTATGATGATTTTGGAGTATTAGAGATTGAACATAGGGCCTTCACACTACCCCCAGACCTCTTTGCAGGTTTTTTTATTTTAAGATAGGGTTTCCATTAGTTGCTAAGTTGACCAAATTGGGCTCAAATTTGAAATCTTCCAGCCTCAACCTCCCAAACTTCTAGGATTACGGGTGCATATACCATGCCCAGCTCCTGTGATATAGTTTTAATATATCTTAGTTTATCTCTTTTATTATTTGTAAATTGGTCAGTAGATTGGGTGAAGTTTGATTGCTGGTATGAGTCTACAAGGAAAAGGGAAGTATAATTAATTGATAGGGAGTAATATGTACTTCATTAGAAGTCATGTTTGGTTGTTGTTCTTTCTGTTATATTAACTTATTCCATCATTTCAGTAATGGCTTCAGATAGCAGTAATTTAATTGGGCCTTTATACCATTCTTAATTTATTAGCTAGAATATATCTATGAAGAGAAACACAGTTTTCATAGGAAGGGTAAAGTTTATTTTCAGTGTAGCATTGAGACATTTTTGGGGAGGAATTTAAATATATGAAGGTACATCTTTAAATGTTATTAAGTTTTTGAAAAGATTTAGCACTTAGTATTAGCATTTCAAATGGCTTTATTTGAAACATTTAAAAATTATGTTTTTAAAACTAGCATGGTAGCAAATGCCTATAATTCTAGCACTCGGGAGGCTGAGACAGAAGGATCACTGTGAATTTGAGGCCAGCATGAGCTACGTAATGAGCTCAAGGCCAAGCTGAACTACACATCAATACCTGTCTCAAAGAAATTCAAAAATTATGCTTTTTAATTGATAGGATTTCTTTTGATCTTCTCTGTTCTTTCTTGAGAGTTAATCTATTCCTATAACTTTTGGGGAGTAGCTGATGAAAGCGCTGCCAAATTAAATTCTA